ACAGCACGATTTTCCTGCTTTTCCATTTTTACGAAAACCACAGAGGCGTCTTGTTCAGCGTGCTGTCAAACCTACACTAGCAAGGAGATCGGGCTGAAACTATAGCTACAAGCTATCCAAGGATGGTACTATAGAATGTCACCTCAAGGTAGGCCTAGTGGCGTCATGTCTTGGTTAGGCCGGAAACTTATCAATCCACCCTCGTAAATAGCTGTCAAAGCTGAATACAGAACTAATACCAGCAAATCAATCTGGTCAATAATCCAACGATATACGTATTATTCATATTTCTCCTTCATTAATGTTCAAAGAAGCGAAAATGATAATTACTAAACCCTGTTCAAACCCGATGTGAAATTAATGATAAATTTACGCCGTGGGCGTTTGCAAAGTTCAATCGATATCTAGTGATTGACATCATAATAAATGAAAACTTTGCAAACAATTCGACACAGTTCTGCCCAACTCACAGGCCTGTGCGATAGAATTTGACATGATTTCGAGATAAATTAAAATTTCAATTTTAACTGGTCATTAAAAGGGTAGTCGTATTTACTGACCACTTAGTGGAGGATGTCTGTCAGTTGAAAAAAGCCATTTAATGTGGAAAGTTCCGGACAAGCCGGCAATCAAGAAAAAAACATGCTTTGCTGTTTTCCTTCGCGTCTAAGAGGTTTCGGGAAATTGAGAGAAGAAGTAGCGCTAGATAACAAGTTAGCCTAATGCACTATACAGTTTCCTTGGATAGCTAGTTCTTTTGAAAATTTGTTTTTTTTTTGTGAAGCATAACCTTGTAGCTTACACTATGCTTTTAAATTAAATATTTTGATTCATTTCTGTAGGATTAGATCTTTTCAATCCTCAATTAAAACCAGGAATTTATAGCCTACTACGTGACCCGTTCGAAGGGGAGAAGCGGTCTTAAAAAAAACATGCTTGGTAACAGGGGTGGGAGGTAGCTTAGGTTTTCGTCACATGGTCAATCCTTTAGGGAAATGTAACTCTTTTTAAAGTTATATTTTCAAAACTTTCTATTCCAAACCATATTTACAAATTACTATATGAAAACTAGGTGCAGAGGGGGTTCTTCGCATATACTATGGGTGGTCATCGAGGGGAGAGAAAATTGTATAAAAACAATGGGTCACGTAGGATGGGTACGTTCCCTAAATTTATCTTTGTATCTAAGGCACCGTTACAACTGTTTACAAAACAAAAAGTAGGTACACATTCTGTAAGTATTTCAACTATTTTATTTTGAAAAGCATCTTCCTAAGCAAAGTTTTTGATGTTTTAATTTTAATGCTTGTATTGTGATTAATTCCATTAAAAACATGACAAGATAGGGGCAGCAAATTAGCATGCTTACATCTGCAGATGATTTAACAATGTTAGCAATTAGCAATGAGGAGTTAGCAATAGCCTTCAATAAAATGGAAAATGTGTTGACAAGAGATCATGGTGTGAAAATAAATAAAAGTGAGCTGATATAAAAATAAAACACGAAGAATTAGAAGATTTAGCTGATTTTTGATATACATAGGGAGGCAGAGAAATATTGTAGAGTCGAATCGCATATTTAACAAAAAGAAGTAATTTCTATGTTCGATAAAAGTTAAAAATTTAAAAAGGAAATCGTAGACAATGGTAGACCTAAGTTAGAATACTGTTCACAAATGATTATAGTTTTAGGAAAAAGCTCAGGAGGTGCATGTTCAACCAGTTTTAAGACTGACGACCCTATGATGATTATCGTTCTTAAAGATTATGAAACACTTATCAAAAAATGGTTTATACGGTATACATAACACACACCATTTTATATGTAAATTCACTTTTAGGTGACACATATCCTTCAAAAACCAATTTCACTGTAGACGTTTCCATAAAATTGGTATGCGATGCGCTAGACTTTCAGTTGACCCTATAAAGCAACCAGTAAAATTCAGTAGCTTTACATGGAGATGTCCTAAAATCCCAAGCGTCGAAATCGAGGACAAATTTAACGACGCAATACGACCCTCCGAATCCACATCAGTTATACATTTAAACAGTGTTTCACCACAATTATTAAAACAAAAATTCTATTATTCGATTGGAGAACCACCTTGATAAAAAGGCGGTTAATAAAGAATCATCCTTATACATTTAGACACCCTACATCTACAAACCATTTTTACAAAAATGATTGCAGAGAATTTAATAGATCTCCCGTTTGTAATATCAAATTATCAAAATCCGCATTCATTGTTTTTGTGTGAACACAGCTTAAAGCCAGTGAGGAGGTGGAGCAGACATTTTTCTTTTTTAATAATCCTTCATTAAAAGAGAATAGTAAAATAAAATGGGTGTTACAGGCGAATGATGAGGATGCTGTGGATAGAGGAGGTTAGAAGTGAAGAGGAATTAGAAAGAATAGGAGAACAGAGGACTCTGGAAGTCAATAATAAATAGAGGAGATAGGTTGATAGGACACCTTCTCAGGCTTGAAGGTCTACTCAGAGAAATATTAGAGGCAGAAACGGGAGTTAAGAGGGGTAAAGGTAGAACTAGATTAGATTACTGTTAATCTAGGTCTAATCTAATATCTAGAAATATTAGATATCTAAAATCTAGACGAAGATTAGCTCAGGATAGAAAACAGTGGAGGTGCGTATCCAACCAGTCTTAGGACTGACCACCTTATGATGATGATGATTATTCTGGCGTTATGTAGGTAAATAACATCGAATTTCCCGGTTCTAAAATTGTTACATAATACAATTTTTGATCCAGTCCCCTCCCCTATATCACCTGACGGTCACTCTAATTTTCACTAAATATAATATATTAAAACAATTAACTAGTAAAAAAGAAAAGCGACTAATAGCTTCAACATTATCAGTACTAACTGAATGACATCAAAACATCAATTTAATGTAATTTCCATAAAATTTTCTTGTTTCGAACGCGATCCCTGATACTTCGCAAGCCGCATTAAAATTCAAAACTGAAAACCAAATGGACTTCTGTTGAACTGAACTGAATAAAGCACTAAACCTCTTAAATTCCACATAAAAATATTTAGAAACGTAAAAAACGTTTCAATACGTAGGGTGTCATCCCTAATTAAATGGTATTGCGTTCCGCAAAGAATTTCTCCTATATAAATGATATGGTACCGAAGAGTAAAATCAAACAAAAAGTCCTGGACCTGCAGGATATTCAAGTAAAGCTACATTGATCCACCAATAGCAATTACCTGAGAAAAGGGATTAAATGAAACTACACTTCATACTAACATCGTTTTTTACAGGACCTTTAATAATTGTACACGTAATAACTTCACAAATAACGACAGTGTTGCTTTTATATTCCTTTGTTTTTGGTTTTACAACATGGCTAGCACCATCATCAGTTTCGTTAGTGCGACGAAATGTTTTTAATGCAACCAGCGATCCGATTGAGAAGTATCCTGGTGGATGTCGCACGTGTGATCTTGTCCTAATCAATTTTCTATTCCAGTGCCTCCGAAAGTAAGTCCTTTTTACGCAGAGGAAACTCTGCATGTCGGAGATCGTGCCAGTTTGACATGCACGGTAACGAAAGGAGATCAGCCATTGACGATTTCGTGGCACAAGGACCACCGAGTCCTGGATCCGTCACAAATGGTCGTCATCAAACAGGTGGACCAGTTCACTAGCATATTAGCAATCGAGAGCCTGACACCAGAGCACAACGGGAACTACTCGTGCGTTGTGCGTAACCAGGCTGGCGAGGTATCGCACACGCAGCAGTTGGTCGTCAACGGTAATTCATCGGGTGCGCCGTGTCGCACCCTTTTACCAATTCCTCCTTTCTATCTCTGATATGTTTGTTTCTCTTCTTTCTCTCAGTTCCTCCTATTATTGAGCCCTTTTCCTTCCAAGACGGGCTGTCGGAAGGCATGCGAACTCGCACCGTCTGCGGCGTGAGTTCCGGGGATCCACCACTCGTGGTCTCCTGGCTCAAGGACGGGCAGCCGCTGACACCCGCGCTGGCCGTAAACGTTTCGGCTCTTGACCCCTATTCTAGTCTCCTCAGCATTTCTAGTTTAGACTCGAGACATTCTGGCGATTTCACGTGCGTGGCCAGCAACCCAGCCGCCGAGGTCAGGTACACCGCCAAACTCCAGGTTAAAGGTAACGAAAACCCCTGGTTCCTTCTCAGCCCACCAACACACCCATCCATGCCCTTAATTTTCCGTTATTGCTTTGGCACACGCGTCAACTGGACCCCTAAGGGCAAGGTACTGTTGCACCGTTTTGTTTATTTTCATTGAATTTTTCGTAGACTATTTTGTAGATATTTTTCATTGCATGTTCTGTTTTTTCTTCTTCTTTATCTTCCGTATTTAATGTTTTATATTTCGACGAAACTTGAACTTGCTACAGTAAGTGACTTCAGTTGAAACGTTATCGGGTTACCGTTCATCTTCTATAAGTACATGTAAATCAATAAAATGTTTCGACATTGGTCACTGTAGCAACATGATGTATATGTATGTAATAATTCGTCGGTTGGACTAATGCTGAACTCAAATGAACAAAATAATGAACTTGCCTATCCTTTCGATCTATTTTGCTAAGGATAGGTGCCTGTGACATTAAAGATATTAGAGGCAACAATAAAAGAAATTCTGCTAGACAAAGGAGGTAAATTACTCCAGCTGACATTTGTAGATTTGGACGGAAAGTCCGCTGCCTATTCACACTCACACCGCAATCTGGAAATACTGATTACTTCCTCACAAAGTAATTGCTTCATGCAGCGAAAACCAGTAACTTAGGCACTCATTCCCCCAATATCGTGTAGTGTCGTCGATGTTCTCACTATTCACGGCACCACGTAATCTCTGTCATTTAGAAGTTAAATTTCCTTTCAAACCGCCTTAATGAAGCGATCTATGTTTCAGTTCCGCCGAGGTGGCTGGTCGAACCTGCTGACGTGAGCGTTGAAAGGAATCACAACATCGCGTTACACTGTCAAGCGCAGGGCGTGCCCACACCCACTGTTACATGGAAAAAAGCCACAGGTTCGATTAACAACTTGTTCAGTTGACCATTTTCTCTATAATGGCCTTTTCATCGCATTTTGAACAGCTCAATTCGTGAACGTTTCCACCACATTATCCTTAATTAACCAAAAGAGATATCTTTTTTCTTCGACGTCTGTTATATACCTAATACTACAGGATAATATTTGCATCTCATTACTTTTATTGATGCCCCATACCTACTCTAAAAAACTCCGAAAACTTCTGCTCGACATTTTATTACATTAATTAATTAATTATTCAAACCATCTTAAATCTAAATCGTATTATACTTATACATGTCATAAGCAAGTAGGTATAAGTATCTATAGCAAAATTAGGAAAATAACTGACCAAAACCACATAATCTTCTTTGAAACTTCAAAATTTTTAATCTATCCTCTCTTGGGGGACTAAAGAATAAGATTGTTTAAAAATTGTGAAGGTCTCAAGGTAGGGTGTACTTTTGGCCAATTACATAAAGTGAAGTTTCCTTGGTCGTATTACTACCAAAATTTAAAAGCTGCAATTCACATGCTATGAAAAATTTCATGCTGGAAAAGAGAACAAATATAAATATTAGAGCTTAGGAAAAGAAAGAAGAAAAGATAGTTGTATAAAACACGTTTGTTAAGTTTTTCAACTACTTTCCATTTGCGCTGTTCTTCAGGTAGTAAGTCAGGAGACTACGAGGAAATAAGAGACCAAATTCACACCAAACTACTGGGAAATGGGACCCTTTTGCTTCAACACGTGAAAGAAGACAGGGAAGGATTCTACTTATGCCAAGCAGAAAATGGTATCGGCACTGGCATTGGGAAAGTCATTCAACTACGAGTAAATTGTAAGATTTTCCACATTAACAAGAACTCAATTACAGCTAAACAGTTTCTACATTCAGCGTTAATTAATATATCTAAAATTCTATGCTGTGACATCAAGCAAATTAAGTTTCGCAAACGAACTGAATAGTTTGCCTCCAACTTTTCAGCGTCCCCGTACTTTTCCCAGCCGTCTCGACTAATAACTGTCAAAAAAGGGGACACGGCGACGTTACACTGCGACGTGAACGGCGATAAACCCATTAGCGTAATTTGGTTAAAAGGCGGCAAGAGCGAATTAAATCCATCGAACAACTACCGTGTGCACGTAAAACAGGACGGAACGCCCGATGGCGTTGTGGCACAGCTTCAAATCGCCAATGCTGAAGCTTCGGACAGCGGCTCGTACTTCTGCCAAGCAAGCAACATGTATGGAAGAGACCAGCAATTGGTACAGCTATTAGTTCAAGAGCCTCCTCTTAGTCCTCAACATCTGGAGGCAGCGATGACCACCAGTCGATCGGTCAATCTGAAGTGGCAGCACAGATCCGGAGATTCGAATGAAGTCTTCAAATTTATTGTGGAATATCGTGAAGTTGATAGTAAGTTCTTACAGAATCTTCCATTTTGATTGGCAATTTTCTTTATATCGGATATATGTGTAATACTAAAGGGAATTGGATTTTTTTCTCAGGACCCTGGCATCATATTGAAATATCAGATAATCCGCTACAATATGCTGCCCTTATCGAAAATCTAAAGCCTGCAACTCGTTACATTTTTCGAGTAATCGCAGAAGGTCCAGCAGGAAGAAGTAAACCGAGCGTTGAGCTAGTTATAAGAACGGAATCGCAAAGACCAGCAGGTCCTCCGTTAAACCTCGCTGTCCGACCCATTTCATCCACGGAATTACTAATCACTTGGAATCCTCCCATCAGCGAACTTCGGCATGGAGATATTCAGGGATATAATGTCGGTTTCAGATCTCCAAAGATGCAAGCGTATAATTACACCACAGTTTCGGGAGACGGTGAAGATGGCACTGGAGAATTGTTACTTGGTGGACTGTCTAAATATACCAATTATGCTATTGTGGTACAAGCATTTAATGAAGTCGGACCTGGTCCGCTTACTGAACCAGCTTCATCGCAGACCATGGAAGATGGTACGTTTTTTACCAACGTCCGATTGTGTATGGTGTGTTAGGTTTAAAGTACGTATACATTTTAGTTCCTAGTGCTCCTCCGGAAGATGTCCGATGTGCTGCTCTTACATCTCAATCTCTCCAAATTAGTTGGCAACCACCACCAATCGAACATTGTAACGGTTTGTTAGAAGGGTACAAGTTAACCTACGAACCAGTAGTTGATGATAACTGGAGAGGTATACGACAATCTGTTGGAGTATTTTATTAATTTACTTTTAAAGGTACTTTTAGGAACGGACGATATAGAGACCAGAAAAACTACAGCACTCACTACAGTCATAACAGGTCTCAGGAAGTTCACGAACTACAGTCTACAAGTTCTAGCGTTTACTAAAGTGGGAGATGGTGTTTCAACTGAGACATTTTATTGCAAAACCGAAGAAGATGGTAAAATACAAAACACAAATAATTGAATCAGATTATTATTAATATTTAACCCGTTGTGTGAATCCTCGCTTGTCTTCTAGTGCCTGGTCCTCCGATCGATATCAAAGTGATAGTCAGTTCTCCGCAAGCGCTTCTGATATCCTGGTTACCTCCTCAAGAGCCAAATGGAATTATTACTAAGTACATCTTATATAAACGAAGTGTTGATGGGAGAGACAATGAAAACCAGAGAGAAACAATTTCCAGTAAGCAAACAAGTTACGAGGCGAAAGGTTTGGTGGCCCATACGGAATATCAATTTTGGGTGAGCGCGACTACGAGAATTGGTGAAGGTAGCAGTTCGAAAGTGGTTTCACAGGTTTCGTCAGGACGAGGTTAGAGTCTAACATAATCAATTATAAACTTTAGAAAACTTTGTTGCAAGAAGTAGGTACTTGAACAGTAGAAAGATAATTAACAGTCCTTGTTAAAATCTTAATGTAGATACACCTTGCAATATAAACACCTTGAACCTTTTATCACTTACTAGCGACCAGCCCCAGCTTCGCACGGGTGCAATGCTGATACTAAATATGTATATTTTTGTTTTGTTTAGATTATTATCGAGAAGGGGAAATCTTCAAAAGATACCCCCTGAACACATTAAATATACTACAGAATGTCTTTATATACAACATGCACAGTTTTTTTGTCATTAGATAATAGAAACCGGCCTCTCGGTCGGTACCACCGCAACCGCTATGTCCCTGCATTTTAAATCTGTAATATCTTCGAAAATATTCATTTAAATTACATGCTGTAAAGGGCCATATTGATCTATATTAAATGCACAATGTATTTTAAATACTTAATTGGATAAGGATTAATGCTGTATGGCTTAAAATCGCTTCGTAAGTAAGCCATTATTTCTCATAAAAAGTAAAGAATAAAAATTGTTATTGTGGTTTATCCCTAAGAGATAGACGTATACCATCCTGGACTTTTTTGTAGATCTTTTTAAGATGTACAATACTTTAGTACATTATTCTGATCTATCTCGTAGGGTTCAGCCAGCGTTTTCAATGTAAGCGCAAAAAAAAGTGTTTTACGACATCACACTGCAAACCTCTAAAATTATCGGTGTTTCTCTACTATATAATGCATGTATTATACATATAAACGTTCCTCTTGAATCAGTCTATCTATAAAAAAAAACCGCATCAAAATCCGTTACGTAGTTTTAAAGATCTAAGCATACTTAGGGACAAAGAGCGGGAAGCGACTGTTTTATACTATATAGTGATATTGCACAAATTAGAACAAAAGAGGATGGTATTCAGAACACACACTTGTGGAAACCCAACAATTTATACTACTAATCCTCTTCGTTCCAAAAATATTTTTTGTGATTGCTTTAGTGCCAGCACGGATCTATTCGTTTGGAGGAAAAGCAGTTCGACCGTGGAGAGGTTCAATAGCCCTCCAATGTCTCGCAGTGGGTTCGCCCAGGCGAGAATGGCTTCGGGGCGATCAAATTCTTAAACCCGGTACAAGCCACAAAATAAATTTCTTGGATACTGGGGAACTCATTATAATGAATTTGCAAATATCGGATGCCGGAAATTACACCTGCCAAGTAGATAATGGCCAGGGCTCGGACAGGATTACGTACAATTTAATAGTTCAGATACCACCAGAGGCACCCACCTTATTCGTTACTAGTGCCACCAGCAGTAGCGTTCTGCTTCATTGGAAATGTGGCAATACTGGTGGGGCGCCTGTTAGTGGTTTAATACTCAGTTATAGAAAGGAGCACGGGGACTTGAGTGAAATTAGGCTGTCAAGACATGCTTCAAGTTATGAACTAAAAGTAAGAAATCGAAGTATTAACCCTTACAACGTAAACAACTATCAATTTTATCATTTTTAGGGACTTCTCTGTGGTACCCAGTACCACATTTACTTATCAGCTCTAAATAAAATAGGAAGTTCTCCTCCAAGTTCCGTATTAAAGGCTAGGACTCAAGGCCATCCTCCAGGAGTTCCAGCACCTAGCGCATTCATTTTTCCTAATTCAACTTCCGTTATCCTACGACTGCATATTTGGCCTGACAATGGCTGTCCTATATTATACTTTATATTACAATACAGGAAGACTTCGGAAGCTCAGTGGACTTTGGGTAAGTCACCAAATCAATAAATGCAAAATCCTAATTTAAAAAAATGATTTTTATAGTTTCAAATGCTTTGAAACCTCAACGGCGAACTTCTATTACTGGACTGACTCCGTCAACACGATACGTCGTTAAAGTGGAAGCTCACAATGTAGCAGGGTTTTCAAACGAAGAATTTCATTTTACAACGTTAACTAAGGACGGAGGTATTTCATTATTCCGATGGGTGCACAAATTTTATTATTATCTATGCCTTCCAAATTTCAGATGCTCCGCCTCCGGATTTGATGTTACAAGGGAATGACAATATGCCGTTTTACAGTGATATGAGAATTGTAGTGCCATTGATAATCGCATTAGCCATTATTTTATTTGCTATTGTAGCAGGAATAGTCTGTATGAAATCGCGTACGTTACACTGTATACGATTGTAAGTATGTAGTCGTTATAATGAAAATATTATTATTGTTCCAGGCCAAATTGAAAGTGCCAAAGAACAATTAGATAATGAACAGAATTCTGAAGCTCAAAGGGAACGTTACTACGCAACCATCCACAAAGTTGCATTGCAGGCAGGAGAAAAAATTCCAGGTAAACTATTGTGATAAACTTCAATGCCTGTTTCATACATTTCCCCGATTTTTTTTAGAAACGTCCGAAGATATTTCTCCGTATGCAACATTTCAATTATCTGAACCTAGCACACTGCCGCAAAACACAATGCTACACAGCTTCATGTATCACGAACATGCAATGACTGAAGGGTGCGCTTCCCCACCCCCAGCAACATCATCAGTACATCGAAATTCCCCTTACTATAATGTTGTACGTAACAAATGTTTTGCATATATTTATGACATTTCCTTGTTGACTCTCTCAATCCATTTTTTCGCAGCAAAAATTTCAGAGTTCAAAAGGTCACGGGAAGAGGAGAAGAAAGGCTGACGTAGAGAGCGATGAGTCTGAATCTGATCAAGATCAATTAACATCAAGTAGAACGGAGTCTTCCAATCATTTAGATTTGAAACATAAGCAAAGTAAGTTTCCCTGTTTAATAAATCAATCCAATTACATAAAATATAAGCACATACGATTCAACTTTTTGATACAGATAAATAATAATTTGAACGTAATATCTTTCCAGACTTCGTTTATCACGGTGCTCATTCAAGTACCTCATCAGACATATCACCCATGTCCGAACAAAAATCACTGCCACGCAGAAATCGTTCAAGGTAAATTTTATTATCTATACGAAAATTTTTGAGTGTATATTAATCCACAGGAAATAAGTCCATTTAAATGGAAGCGGTCCTGACAGATCAGTACTGTATGAAAATAAATAAAAGTAAAACTAAAATACTGGTATGCAAGGGAAGAAAAAGTAGGGAAAGAGCGAATATAAAGATAGGAGATAGGAGTCAGATAAGTCAGGATGGAAGGAGTAGTAGGGATATAAAGCAGAGGAAAGCGCAGGGTCGTGTCGCCTTTAATAAAAAGAAGTCACTTCTATGCTCGCGAACGGTTAATTTAGAAATTCAAAAAAGGTTGTTAAAGGTATATGTTTGGAGCACGGCATTGTACGGGTGCGAAACATGGACGGTGGGCGCGGCGGAAAATAAAAAGTTAGAAGCGTTCGAAATGTGGTGTTATAGGCGGATGATGAGGATATCGTGGGTAGAAAGGTTAGAAATGAAGAGGTATTGGAAAGAGTAGGAGAACAGAGAAGTCTATGGAAGTCAATAAAAATAGGCGAGATAGGTTGGTAGGATACCTTCTCAGGCATGAAGGTCTAGTCAGAGACATATTAGAGGCAGAAACAGGAGTTAGGAGGTGTAGAGGTAGACCTAGGTTAGGTTACTGTTCGCAAATAGTTAAGGATGTGGGCTGTTCTAGTTTTAGGGAAATGCGAAGCTTAGCTCAGGATAGGAAAGAGTGGAGGTACGTGTCCAACCAGTCTTAGGACTGACGACCTTATGATGATGAAATGGAAGTTAAAGGATCAATATCATACCTAGCATACCTAGTAATTAGTCCAAAATTAGTTTAAACAAGTTTAACACTATTAAAACTTAGGAGCAAAGACAGTAAAAATTGAGTAGTGGTGTGTCTTATTTCTTGTGGAAATTTATGCTCAAATACACCGGAACCAATTTTCAGGTGGTTGTATCAGGGTAGCACAAAATCGGCAAGACAAATGCTGCCAACGTTATCAGTGGCCGAAACGGCTTTTGCAGAGCGAGAAAGACTATCGCAACCCGAATCGAATACACCAGATCGACCTGAATTGAGTGAGGCCGAGTGCGACATCGACACATTGAAAAAGCTCAAATTAGGTCTACGTTCTTCGTTATGGTCGCGACCCAGCACTACCGGGTCCAATCAGCAGTCAGACTATTCTATAGCCGTTTAAATGTGGTCTTAAATAAATAGACGTAATACATTTCTCGATGGTTGAATAATTGTTAATAATATTATTAAACAAAAACAAAAAAATCAAAATATATTTCAGTTATTTACTATTGAAAATTGAACGTTTGTACAAAAAATAAGAAGACATTTTGTTACTCAAATTTTAATGTTTGGATAAATTTTATAACGACACAATCAAAATATTGTAGGTATAAAATCAAATATTCTTCCAAGAGTTTTACTATGTACCTATTTATCTAGTGATACAGGACCAAATTATATATGTCTGGAATGCTAAATTCAGTTCTCACTACCATTATTGTCAATAAAATGTCATAGTTCAACAATAAATACATTATCGATTATGAATTAACTTTTGTAACCTGATCAAGCAGGACATTGGGCCTAATTTATTAGCATGCCATCCCCAAACCCAGTGAAAGATTAAAAAAACGAATGGAATGTTTGGGTCAGTAAATTAAAATTCATTTTCAATAGACATTTTGAAATAATAATACACAAAAAAAGATACATAATATAGCACCCCAAATAATATAACAACCCGAGTAAAAATTATTCTTTTCAATTTCACTCTACCGAATTACGACCAAAATAGCTCCAAAAGTTTCTCTAAAATATTACCGGAAAAGGTCCGTTTGCAGGACTAAACCGCCGATTGTGTACGAATGGAGTACTGAAACAGTACCCCATTCAGTACAGAAAGAACACGGATACAGTACCGATTGCTTTCCAGAAATCTACTGAAATACCAACGAACGAGAGCGACGCATTTATAATAAAAAAGCGCCGAAACAACATTAAAGGGATACTGAAATTCATATTCATACTGTAATTAATAAATACTAATTAATATTAAATGAACATACGTTATCATAGATGAATATATATATATTTTTTCAAAAATATAATCATCTGTAACTGTTAATATTAATTAATAAAAATTTAAATATCTGATAGATAAATTGATATTAATTAATCAATATTTTCATTTTTATATACGGTACGTTTTGGTGCTGTTTTAAATGATTTTGTATGTGATGTTGTTTTGGTGCTGTTATGGTATGGTTTTTGGCGAGACGCCGTTTGAAGGCTCTTTCGGGTCTTTTAATGTGGTGCTAGTTTGGAGCTATTTTAGACTTTCTAAGGGTAGTATTTTGGCTATAATTTTAGAATTTAAATTTTCGTCTAACTAGTAGGAACTTTTTCAGTTGTAATTTAGGTGAAAGTAATATTTTCATACTATTTCGGCAAGTAATTGTTTTTCTTTTAATCAATTAGATTGAATATTTTAATTTACTATTTTTGATTGAAATTTCACAAAACTTTCCACACAACTTTAAAAAAGGTACTTTATATGCACTTAATTCCCCTACATTTTTATGAATGAATTAAACATGCATAACTAATAAAATAAACTGACGAATAATAGTAAAAACTAAAGACATATCACGCTTTTAAAAGCGCGTGGGTATTATATTGCGCACGCATACTTGCATCAATGAATTACTTAGGTACCTACTTCTTAACATCAAAATAGAAACGAAATTCAATAAATCCTCAATTAAAATTTGCTACAATAAATTTTTATCGCTGTCATCTACCTTAAACATGCTCGATCATGTCGCCAAATACTTCAAGTAATATGAGTATTAGGTTTAGAGCACCTTTCAAAACGTTCAAACGTTAATAACGCCTAAAAATGATATACTTAATTAGGAATAACTTACCATTAAAAATCTAATCTACCCCGTGTCTATCATAACACTACCAGCATTCGAAAAAATATTTAAAAACACTTTCACATATTTACACGCGAACGCGAATAGGACCGACAGACCATCATCTCGTGCGCAATCAGAAATTAAGACCGAACAAGCAGTGAAAGGCATCCGCTTAGCAATGTGCAAACGCTTGTTTGTTTCTCATACATTGAGAAGAGGGGATCATATCACCGCAACAAAAAGTAGAACTACATTTATAACTATCTATAGATATAAAAGAAAGTCGTTTTAGTTACACTATTTATAACACAAGAACGGCTGAACCGATTTGGCTGAAAACTGATACTTTTTATCACGTTCTACGGGAAAAACGTGGTACATATAAACGCAACTGACATGGAATGACAAAACGCAACTGACAGCAAAACGATAAATTTATCAGTCACAACATCAGTCTAGATGTTCATTTGTTAAAAATGGTATAACAAAACGCAACTGACAGATAAACGTAATGTCGTCCACGGTTAAATATGGTGTTTTATTTATAGTCAGATTTACCATAAACTTGGCTTTAATGCCTTTTCATATAAAATTAGTGATATACATACCTATTTCAACATTTTACAAAATTCCACCTCTTAAGGAAGCTGAAAGGGGTTTGTAAAGACTGCATGTTTGTTTTTGGTCCGATTTACTTGAAACTGATTAAAAAATTCAATCTCTGTTGGGTGGGATGAGTGGTGAAGGGGAGTTGCAATGTTTAAATGGAACATATATTATTTGTGGTCAGATTTATTTGAAACTTGTTTTTAATGGTCTCTCATTTAATTTCTGAAAGACCTGTCTCGACATTTTAAAAAATTCAATCTCCAAAAGGGGGAAAGGTGTTGCAATTTTTGTTTGGGACATACTTTATTTGTGTTTGAATTTATTTCAAACTTCGTACATATGCTATTTGATATTATTATTCAAATTAAAATAGGTTGCAACGTTTCCATGGGGTATATTTTATTTGTACTCGGATTTACTCGAAGGTTGCTTCCATTGTAGAAATTAAGGAAATACATGTTTTGGCTATTTATAAAAATCCACCCTTAAGGATGAAATGTTGTTGCTACGTTTGTATTTGATTTAACGTATTAAAATTGCGACATTACATAAAATTAAAACGTTGTAAGGGTGAATTGGGAGTTAAAAGGTTTTATGGAGAAACAATATTAATTTCTGCGAGCGAAGCCGAGGGGAAAAGCTAGTATTAAATAAAAAAAAGAACATTCAGAATTAAAAACATTAATAAGTTCTTCTTATTTATGACCAAAACGATTTCAAAATGTTAAGTAAAGAAAAGCACGACTTTACGTACTAATTGACGCCAAACAAATAGTTTAAAAGCTTACTAAGGCAGCAGTTTTCAAAAAAATCAGTCTATGTATATGATTAAATATAAAAGTATTTTAGATATTTATATCTCAGGCAATGTTTAAAGCTGAAAATAAATAAAAGTGAAACGTCTTCATCCTTCATATTTGTATTTTAAGTATTTTAAGACTAATACAAAAATTACTCTAATTTGTAGTAGTTAATTAATCAGTACACATTGAATCGATAATTTCTTTATATCTTAGGTGGTCTAGATCAGCATGGCACTCGGGAAATCACCGGTTGGATGCCTCGTTTGTCTGCCCTGTTTTAAATATTTCTGTAGTACAATGTACGTACTTTTAAAATACAAAACTTACATTTATTATATATCAAACTATAGGCAGTGTATCGTCATCTAGTGGGGTGATGGCAGCAACAAACATATTTTTCCTCAGTAATTTGAGGCAATCTGTAGTATGTAGTGGTAGAAGTTAACGTTCACATTCATGTATTATCAATTAATAATAGGGTTTTGCAGCTAATTACGTATTTAATGCATTAGATAAAACCTTATTTCTAACCAAGATTGAATATTATATATACAATAAATTATGAGTGCTGTCAGCACATTTCTTATGCTGAAGTGTACGATGTGTTGCATATCTATTTACAAACCATTCATTTAAATTTTAATCACTAATTACTATACATCTATTAAAAAAACCGTAATGGCCGACATCAGTGACAATGCGACAACAATTGAAAAAGAATGATGGCCGACAACTGCAACAATTAAAAAAGAATGATGGCCGACACTACGTCATAGTGAAGTAATAAAAAAGAATGATGGCCGACAACTGCAACAATGAGAAAAGAATGATGGCCGACAACTGCAACAATTAGAAAAGAATGATGGCCGACACTACGTCATAGTGGAGTAATAAAAATGGCCGGGGCAGGGGAAAGAACTAGTTTTTATTAAAAGAAAAACAAAAACTTGTTTTATTGTTATATTTTTTAGGGCAATTAAATTACATCATTAATAGTAATTCCAATATATTGAGCATATAAAATTTTTAGCAAAAGATTCCTTACATACATCCACACATAGCAACAACGATAATAAAATTAAAGCAATAACTGCGTACTTTACGTACGTAATATAACTAAGGACTTATCGTTTTTCAAATAAATAAATCAGGCACAATTATATCACATATTTTTAGAAAATAATCTCTAAGACTGTATTTGCGATAAGAGGATTTCGTGTTTCCTACATTCAACGCCCAATTGTCTCACTACAGACACATATCTACGCTGTTGGTCCACCAATGATTGCAATGAGTAGGTCAATTCGTCTCTTTTGTGTTTCTCTTCAACAAGTTTACTTTCTACTTTACACCTTGACTGTTTAACGCCAGCAACTATATTTTCCAACTGACGTAAGAATTCTTCTTTTGCACTATTTGAAACCAAGGCCCTAAAACAATAATTTGATAAGTAATTTATATTTAATATAATCTTTGGGACAGAAAGGATAGTACAGTAAGCAAAGAATGAGAACATTACATGAGAAAGAAGCATGAAACATGATGACATTTAAAATCAGAAAAGACACATTTTATTTTTATTGTTTCGATAATACTGTTTATTGTTACTTACTCTGGATATGAATCTGATATTGAATTTAATAACGATAATTCATTCTTAATATAAAGCCTCGTGTCTTCTAGAGTGTTATATAAAGTATAATATTGTTTTGTTTCTTTATGTTTCGCTGAAACTAAAGCAAAAATTAATTTTAGATTGAATATATGAGTTAATTGTCTACCTTCATTATAAAGTTCTAAAAATCTCCTTTGGTATTGAGCCAGTTCTGCACTAGTTGGTACCTCATCTAATTTCCTCTGTAAAGCTGCTACCTCGCGATTTTTCTTTGCTAATTTCAATCTCAACTCTTTAAGCTTTTCTTCTTCCATTTGTAATTCTTTGTTTAAATGAGTTGTACCGGAAACTTCTTGTTTTGAGGCTTTAGTTTCTCTGAAAATAAAATAAAAAGCAAGTGACGAAAAGATAAATAATTAACATGACAAAAATTTTGCACTTACTCAATCATATTTTGCAGCCTTACTAATTCTTGTTTGCAGTATTCTCTAAACTGTAGCTCTTGATTTCTTAATTTCTCACCTAAAATGACTAGATCTTCCGTTTCCTTTAATGTCCTAAAAGCAAAAGTTCAATTTTGATTACAACTATGCTGACCTAACATACTCAGGGTTTTCTTGAATGCCAGTTTCCATATCTTTCAAAATTTTCGAGGATTGTTTTTGGTTTTCTAATATTTCTTTCAATTTATTATTAACTTCAATTATTTCATTTTGCAAGTCAGAATGTTTCTTTGTGAGATTGGCATACTCATCTTCTAAAACCTTTTTCTGTTCTTTTAAAGTCAAAATAGCATCTTCCTGTCTAGTCTGAGTTCCTTCAAGCTAAAAAAAACTAAACATAGAAGACAGAATTTTAAAGTAACATAAATTATTTAAATTTACCTTTAGTTCATTTTGAAAGGCAGCATAATGTTTGGCAAGTTCTGTTTTTTGTACATCATTGAATGAGAAATTTTCGGTCACGTCCTAAGGAGATATGATACACTTATTAATAAATAAACACAGTAAGCATAATGACACAAAAAGCATTTAAAAATTAAAAGCAACTCATTAGAATATAACTTACCTCTTGCATTAAAGTCAAATTATTTAAAAGTACTTCAATAGAATGCTAAAAAACAAGAAAACACACACTACACTTAACAATGACAAAAGTAATAACAAATAATATTAAAATACAAATATGCGTTCCTTGGAGCTCAGTAAAATATAAGTAAGCACATATAAAAGGACAAAGCAAAAACTCCAAACAACATCACATAAAACATAAAAAAGAACCTCAGCAATATCTTGCTTTTCCAATGTATTTCCTTCTGTTGATTCTTGGATATTTCCTGCCTCAGTTTTTCCCTGCACTCCATATTCTAATAAAGTTATTAATAATCTGGTATTGAGATCATCTGGCAAAGCATTCTTCCTCTTGTAAATACGACGAGGTCTATAAACTTCCTGAACCTTTTTTATGTTTTCTAATATATCCTTTTTGGGATCCTCTTTTGCACTAGGAAACTCTTTCTCAAATTGATTAACTGCATAAGACCTCACAAAAGCAGCCATTTCTTGCCTGAATTCCATTGACCTTTTTACAAGCCACTAAAACAGTTAAAAAGAAGTGCTTAACACTATCTGTAAGATTTAAAAATATATAGATGTTTACTTGAATAACAGGAAATATGTGTATAAAATCCAATCCTTGAATTTGATGTGGTTCAATTCTATATGGGCACTTCATTTTTTGTAGCACAGCAACTATTTTCTCTGTTAATGCTCTTAAAATAAAACAAAGTGAAGTAATATATCTATTTAATTTGTAAATGTGTCTTACATTTTTTGTCCTATTGTTGAATTCTCTTGAAATAATAAATCAACATCAACATCAATATTACATGACTGAATACACCAAGTCATTCCTCCAACAACCTTATCAAAAGGTGACAATCCCTTTATCCTAGCACGAAAATAACCAGCTGCAACAAGCAGATCAATAATTTCTTGTAGTTTAACTGATTGTTCCTCATCTTCACGAATATCCACCTGCAGTTATTAAATTTAATAATAGTTTCAATAATATTGGATACACTTCATACCTCTGTTTCACTTCCGTCACCTCCTTGTCTTAGGGGCAACTTTATCGCACTTTGAAACTTATTAAACAGATCAGTATTCACCTTGGCCATCATGTTAATAAATTAAACAAATAAAATGAATTAGCCATTTAACTTAAAATACAATATTAAATGAATTTATTAAATAAGTTCAACGACAAACTTTAAATAGCATTCTAACTGTTCTAACCTCAATTGAACCTCAATTGCCAATTCCGTTAGCAATAGAGTAAATACGTTATTTTATAACGTTGTTCTTAATCACCGTATCTTTCCACATTCCAATGGTTTAAGCGTGCTGCTGGATACTATTTCAGTTTCTAATTTGTGAGAATCTCAACTTTCCAACCATAAAGAGTTGAAAAATGATGTGAACATATAAGCATTCTTTAAAATTAAATAACAGATTACACTTTCTAAGAAGTTCCAGGCCTTGTAGAAGATAATAAGATAAAACAAATCTGTGGTCAATGGTCCCAGTGTTCCTGAATCATGACTAAACCCTAATGAACCTTGTAAGCTTGTAACTATTATGTATGCCTTGTTATCTATCTTATAATCTTTTTGTCCCTCATCACAGATAGGTTTAGGATAGTCCTCAACGTCCTGAAATTCTCAACAACATGCCCTCAATGCCAACTCAACTATAAGTTCAACCCACTGTAGATCTGGTGTGTATGAAATATGGATAAACCAAGGGAATGTGGTTGTAAAGGTTGTAGAACATGTTTAGTTTGTGAAAAGTTATATGGTATTATCCCAAAACCTTTTTTCTTTAATTCAACTCAAAAATCTTATGTGTTTTGTCCTTATTGTAACAAACTATGGAAGGGGTGGAATTTGGGGGATATTCAAAAGCATCCCTATCATATAGGCGAACATATTCCTTTTAATGGCATATACATAAAGTTGGATTTTTTAAATAAAGAAGAAGAAGAATTTCTATTAGAAAATATTGATTCTGTAGCATGGGATTCATCACAAAGTGGCAGAAGAAAACAAAATTATGGACCAAAATGTAACTTTAAAAAAAGAAAATTGCAATTGGGCAATTTTAAAGGCTTTCCAAAGTTTTCGCAGCTTGTTCAGGACAAATTTCGGAATATTCCAATATTGGAAGATTTCCGTACCATTGAACAGTGCTCTTTAGAATATGATCCAATCAGGGGAGCATCTATTGACCCACATGTTGATGATTGTTGGATTTGGGGTGAAAGAATTGTTACTGTTAATTTGTTGGCAGATTCAATTCTGACACTAACTCCTAACTTTAAAAATGAACATTATAATTTACATTGTGTGCATAATTATCCCTCAGTATTAACAAATACAGGTGAAAAGAATACAAGTGGTAGCAGTTTTAAATTTAGTGAAGATAGAAACAGCTGGCCTGTTGTAAGAATTCCAATGCCCAGACGTTCATTATTAGTTATGTTTGGAAGTCCTAGATATGATTGGGAACATCAAGTTTTAAGGGAGGATATTACCAGTCGAAGAGTTTGTTTAGCTTACAGGGAATTTACACCATCTTATTTACCTGGAGGAAGTCATTATTCAGAAGGGAGAAAAATAATGGAGATGGCTAAGAACTTTTTCTAGAACACACATAGATAAAATACATTTAATAAACTTTCCTAATTGTGTTGCATTAAAGCGTTTATAAAAGAAATTATTTATTATTATAAATTTAAAATCACTTTATTAAAAGGATAGCACAATTAGTACGTTTCAATCAGCTAAAGTGTATTATTTAGATACAGAGGTGTATGTTGGGTTGCGTACATATAATGAAAACAATTTTGTAATTAGTACTACATAAAAAAGATGTTTCCAGGGAAGGACATTTTAATTCGATCGATTTATCACCCCTAAAATCAGCCGTGTATTTCGTCGAAATCATTGGAGTCGTTTTCTAGGAGATATACCACCGAAATATGAAAGGCTACTAATTTTACTTATAGCTGAGGCTAAGTTGAGGCATTTCTTACTAATAAACAACAAAGAAAATATTTAAATATATTTATTCTAATAAAAATGTTTAAATATTATATATTT